CTAGTATTTGGCTTAAATGAAGTGCTTTTTTCTTTTTTCAGGTCTTCAAAGAAAACGTCTGCTAAAAAGGACCAGGTAGAGTAAAATACTAATTATAAAAGTATTTTCCTGTAGTAAAAAAATTTATAAAAGATAGAGTGGAAAAACAGAAAATCCTCCGTTGCTGTAGAGACATTTACTTAAAAATAATTTAGAAACACTATAGATTAAGTTAGCCTTTTGACAAAAATCGGTTCTTTCGAGAAGTGTCTGTGTTTTTGCTCTCATAAAAAGATGGGCATCTATCACCTCTGTACACTGAGCATATTTCATAACTATGTTGGAGACACTGTGAAATAGCATTATTTATTTGTAGGTCAAAGAGCAGATTAATTCTGTGGATGGCCTCGATGACTTAACTCTGTCACCGGAAACAGCTCCCAAGGATTGTGAGTCGCTCTTCCCTAATTATAAGAATACCCTGAGGCTAATCGAACAACGTGGCCCGGAGAGTAAAGGTAGGACCCCCGTATGACTGCACAGCCTTTTTAAGTATCTCGTGGTAAATAACGTGTGCCCACCTAGTACTGCCCCAGGGAGCACGGCTACGTTACAGTCCGCTGCGTGTCAGCAACCTGCTCTGTGTTGAAGCAGAATCAGACGTGTTGTGCGCTGCCAGCCAGGGGCTGTGACCGTTCCCACTCCCTGTGCTTTCCGTTGACTCTGCTGCTCCTGTGCCTTCACCCAAGGTCAGGTTATCATTACTTCCCTCCTAGAACACTGAAATCACCTCAGGACTTTCTTCTGTGCTGTCCACCTCCTGGAACCTTGGTCTACACCACAACCATGATTACTAGATGGTTTTTAAAATTCAGATCTTTGTTACCCCCTTGTTTAAAATCCAGCTACTGCTTCTCACAGCTCCATGGTTAAAGGCCACAGTCCTCTGGCTTCACCTTGTTTCCTTTTATTACCCTTCTTTCCACGTGAATTTTAGAATCGGCTTGTTAATGTAAAAAAAAAAAGAGAAGAAAAGAAGAAGAAGAAGTCTGCTAGTGTCCTGGAAATCAGATGTAGATTATGTTGAATCTGTAGATTAATTTGGGGGGAATTGACTTCTTACCAATACGGAATTTTTAACCCCGAACAAAGTTTATTTCTCCGTTTACATAGGTCTTCCTTGATTTTCTCACTAATATTTCAGAGTTTTTAGTGTCTGGGTCTTTCCGTCTTTTATGAGTTTACCTGTATTTCTTATTTTTCAGTGTGGTTATAAGTAGTATATTTTTATTTATTTGTTTGTTTTAAAATAATATGTTTTAAATTTTAGTTTCTGATGGTAGAAATACAGTTGATGTCTGTATACTGACTGTGTGCCCTCCAACCTGACTGAACACATTTATTAGTTCTAGTAGCCTTTTTATGGATTCTCTCAGATTTTGTACGTAACCAAAGGTGGCCAAGGTTTTTCTTCCTTCAGCTACTGTCTTATTAAAGATAGTTCACATTTAAGACTTGCAGCCAATAAATACATTCTCTGTTACAGCTTATCAGCTCTGTCACCGTTGCAAC